CATATCCTGGTGCTAGTTATCAGGGTTAAATTATGGACTTACTACTTACCATGATACATACTATTATGGAATCCTGAGTTTGCAAAAGACCGTCTCGAACAAGCATTTTAAGAACCTTAGTACAATGGAGACTATATGGGAAGTTGGCTTCATAATATTATTTTATAGTGAAATTTGATGTATGGAATTACATCTACTCACTTTTATACTCTAGTGCAATAGTCACCAACCGGTAGATTGGGATCTAGTGGTAGATCTTGGAGCCTCTGACAGGTGATCCTGACTGGTTTGGCCAGGAAGCTATCAAGTGCTGGAACTTGTGTTGCCCCTCCACCCACTGCCATGCTGCTCCTGCCCTCTGCCTTGGAGCTGCCCCCCGCGGAGTCTCCTGCTTGCTGTGCAGGGTGAGGGGGGGAAAAGAAGGGGGTGCTGATGTCAAGGTGGCCCTTCTCCCCCCCACTTCTGTACCCTGTCTCCACACAGAGGGATCGGGATGGAGGAAGCTTCATAATGCAAATCTCTGTTGCTCTCACATCCTGTATGTGTGTCTGTCATTCTCACACACACATACACTGTCCTTCACTCTCATGAAGGCTGTTATTCATGTGGACTGCTTTTGTTACTTTTTACTGCTTGCAGATTGTGTGTGTTGCTTTTTGACTGGTCTGTGCATTTCATAATTTTCATTTCTCTCTTATGCTTAAATGTAATTCTTTGAATAGTGAGTTAGCAATTACCATAAGGATAATTACTCTGACCTGGAAGTGGCTGGCATGTCCCTGCAGCCCCTGAGTAAGACAGGGCAGGGGGGTCTCCACATGCTGTGCTTGCCTGCAAACACTGCTCCTGCAGCTCCCATTGTTCAATAACTGGGAACCGTGGCCAGTAGAAGCTATGGGCTCAGTGCCTGTAGACGAGGGGCAGCATGTGGTGCCATGGAGCCACTGCTGTACATGCCAGCTGCTTTCCAGAGCCAAGGCAGGAATAAGCCTGCCTTAACTCCACTGCTCCACCACCCGGAAACCATCTGAGCTGAATGGTGTCCAGCCAGAGCCTACTTCCTGAACCCCAGTCCCAGCCCTGAACCCTCTCCTGGACTCCAGTCCCCCATCCTGGGCTAAGCCCAGAGCCCCTCCCACACTCTGAACCCCTTGGCCCAAGACCAGAGCCTGCACCCCAACCTCCTAACCCAGCCTGGTGAAAGTGAGTGAGGATGGGGAGAAAGGTGGAGGGAGTGAGCAGGGTGAGGCCTCGGAGAAAGGTTGGAGCAGGGGCAGGGCCTCAAAGAAGGGGTGGGAAGGAAGTGAGGTACCGGAATTTGGGTTTGAGCTAGATCTTACATTGCACTTAAATTGAAAAAGTGATCTTGTGGTTAAAAAGGCTAGAGACCACTGCTCTTGTGTGAAATGTAATGATCTAGAAAAGAGATTCATGGACTGTTGAACTGAAGAAGTGGTAGGTCATGAAAGCTTGCTCATTTGCACTTACCAAATTGCATTAAAAAAAGAGGGTAAAAACATAAGATACTTCCTTAATTTACTTTTCCATATAACGCATTACTGTAATAACCTCAGGGAATGGAGAATGCTTCACAATTGTGCAGCGAAGGCAGATCACATGCTAGACATCTCCCTATTAATATATGGCCCATGCTATTAGATTGTGAACTCCTAATCTAAATAGTGGAGATGATTACACTGCTAAAGTATTCTCTATTAAAATTAGAAGTAGAGTTCAAGTAATCAAACTAGGGATGCAAGCAACTAGTTGACTACCCAAGAAGCACATGCTTATCGGGTAGTTGAGTAGTGACTCATCTAGTCGCTTCCCACCCCCAGCTGCCTCTTTAGAGGCAATGAGGGAGGAGAGTAGGAGCTAGTGCTGGGGGGGAGAGGGGAGTCAGCGTAAAAGCTAGTTCCCCTACCTTGCACTATCTTCACTGGGGGCAGAGGAAGTAGAGGCACATTGGGGAAACGGCACGAGCAGGGACTGAAGCTGTTCCTCACGCCGCCTCTTACATTTTAAAGAGAGAGGCGGAACCTGAGGCAAGCAGGACTGCTTGAGTCCCCACTGCTCTTCTGCTTTTTGAATGTAATACATTTAAAGACAGAGGTGCAGTGGGGATAACAAGTACACCCACTCTACCCCTTATTCACTAATCGACTTGATTAGTTGACTAATTGAAATTTAACATATCCATCCCACTTCAGGAGGGAATGGTGCTCAGTGCACCAGAGGAGGAGACCTTTTTTCCCCTTAGTGTTACCTGTTGGAACAGTTCTTGTGTTCTCTGGTGCCTCATATTGTTGTGCAGTGGTATAATGGTTTTGTCCCCTGATTCTCCTCCGTTCCTTCTGACAGCCCGTAATTGTTAGTCAGTGTGTGTTTGTTTTACAAGTGTTCCATCTTTCCCAGGAATTTTTTTATATATATAGTTAGTGTACTCATCAGTAGTTAAATAACTGGAGGTCTAATTTAGTTTTGCTTAGCTTATCAATTCACACTTGTTCTGGGTGCCGACTCTCAGTACAGAAGGCATTCTAGCATTCCAGGCTTTAAGCCATGGGTGGGGAACCAACTTACCTGGATCTGGCCCCCAAGGCTCAAGGTCCACCCCCAGCATTGGGGACTGCAGCAGCCACCCTTGCTGCCCCACCATGGGGCTGGAACACACAAACTTTTTTGCACTTCTCACTTATGTGCCGCCCCCAACTCAAAATAGGTTCCCCACCCCTGCTTTAAGCCTTGCACTGGTTGTAAGTCTATGCCAATAAGTAATGCTCATTCCAAATGCCTCATGAGTCACATCTAGGAGCACTGTGAAATCTTTAGATTTTTCCTGGATCATGAAGGATAAGAAGGTAAGGTTTGTCTCCTCATAGAGGCCAGCTTATGCTACCATCTGAACTGTCCCACGCAGAGCAGTTACTTCCACGCCATTTAGTGCTTGTCTGAACATTGTAGCATTCCTTTTCCCTAGGTTCGAGGAAGAAGTATAGACCACACTCTTCAAAGAAGCCAACCTCTTCCAAAAGATTGACATCTCCAGTACTGTCTTCTAGGGATGTGAGTGAGTAGTCGACTATATGATTAACTGATAAGCCTAGGCTTATTGGTTAATCTTCTTGACTACTTACATTTCTTCCCCCCCCCTTGCTAATAATTCGGTATCCGAGGTGGTGAGGGGAAGAGGGAGACCGTTTAAAAGCCAGTTCTCCTCAGCACCGTCTCTGCAGTGCCACTGCCTCCTCTCTCCCCCCATGCTACCTCTACTGCTATGAAGCAGCTTTGTCCATGGCAAATGGACTGGCTGTGGACAGAGGCCAGTCCCCAGCAGCAGTCCCTGTCTGTGGGGAGACCCAGCTGTCCACAGAGCAGTCTCTGTCTGCGGTGGGCCCAGGCCCACTGTGGACCCTCTACCAGCAATGGTTGGTTCCTGACCAGCATCTGTTAGGGGTGATCTAGACCGGGAGGTGGGGGACCACTGTTGGGGACCACTGACCAATAGAAAATTCAGTCATAGGCTGCACACAAGTAAGAAACAAAAAAGCCCCACCTCTCACCAGCATGGGCTCCCCAGTGCTAGGGGGAGCCTTGAGCCTCAGGTACTGGATCCAAGCAAGCTGAGGGTTACATCCAGCCCTCAGGCCTTAGGTGCCCCCTGCTCAAGTGGGTTGATCCAGCCCATGAAGACTCTGCTGCTCCCCTGCCCCCGGCCAATCAGGGCCTAGGGACAGGGGAGCACATGGCACTTAGTCAACTCTGGCAGTTGACTCTTAAGTGCCATGATCTGGCTGGCAGGGAGCGAGAGTTTGCATGCTCCTCCCCCCACCTCCAGGCCAATCAGGACTTGGGGACAGGAGGAGTGCACAAAGTCTCCTCCCATCCTGTAAAGGACTTGGTATTTAAAATCAACCACCAGCTGCTGCTCCTTTGCAGGGCAGGGGCAGGGAATGAGAGACTTCACATGCTCCCCCTTCCCGAGGCTCTGATTGACCTGGGGTTGGGGAGCACTTGAAGTCTCCTCCCACCTCCAGGGGTAAGGGTGCCTAGAGGGAACCACCAGCTCTTCAGATTGCGCAGTCCCCTACCCCCAGACCAATCAGTCTTGGTGGGGAAGGACAGAAGTGTCCTGGCCCTGCCCTTTCCACCTGAGGTCCTGGCCCTTCTGGGATGGCCTGAGACCACTTCAAAAATGTCTGAAGTGGCCCATGGTGGTAAATGACTGCCCACCCCTGATCTAGATTGTGCTTAGTGCTGCTGTGAGTGCAGAGGACTGGACTAAATGACCTCTCAAGGTCTCTTTCAGTTCTATGATTCTGGGATATGTGGCACATGTCTATTCTGTGACCATACTCCTTCCCCTCTATGTAGCAGTCTCTTGAATAAGAAGGAACTGAGGGAAGTTGGGTTCCAACGCTTTTGCATGGTCCTGTAGCAACATGTTAGAGGAGGGTACATATGCCACCCCAATTGGTGCTAAGGGAAAAAATGTCCAACTCTAGTGTCCTGTGTGTGCACGTATCTAAAGTGGACTGGACATGCAATGTATCCCAAAGAATAACAATTATAGAACAGGTTAGTAATTTTTTTAATGATTTCTTGGACTGTTCTGAAAAAGTATGATCTTTGAGATGAAAACATAGCTAATTGTGATAGTCTGCCTTCTGTAACACATCCTGTGCTCAAAATCCATGCACTTGAATCTGAGCAGTTATGTATGTCACTCTTGTGATTTGGAATCCATTATTGTAGACCAAGTGTTTCTCTATCGCTAAAGCATATGGCAGTTGGAAATGTACTACTACACTTCGTTTATCTGATACTTGAAACAAAGTAGCAGAATGTCTTAGGTGAATATAAGTATTTAACTTTTTACAAAACTAGACAGTAGCTCCTTGAAGGGCTGTTATATTTATTTTTTGTTTAGTATGATGTCATTTTTCCAACTGTACAGTTTAGCTTTATTAGTGTATATAAACAATCATTTGGTTTTTCAGGTTGGCAAAAGAGAAAGTTATGTATGAAAAAGAAGCAAAACAGCAAGAAGAAAAAATTGAAAGAATGAAAGCTGCAGCAAGTGATGACTATGGAATTAAAAAGCAAGTACGTTGTCCTAAAATACGTTTTTAAAGCATTATAGCTTATAAAGGGAAATTTGAAAGTGACTCAATGAAAGAAACTCACATAGCTTTTTCCGAACTCTGATGGTATGAACACTAGACTAAAGTTCTCTTAAATAATAAAAAGGCTGTGGCTCCTCCACTGCCAGGGCTGCTCTGGGCTGGCATGGCTGGCTGCCACTGGAATTCATTAACAAGGGTCGGTTAACCATTGAGCATACCAGTTAGCATACCGGTAAAACATCTCTAGTACGTGTAATTGTAGATAGGTGAAAGCTTTTAATTTGGGGTGCAGATATACACAAACAATAGGTGCACAGCATTGGATGGGTTTAATGTATCACCTACAATACAATTACAGGAGTACCTCGGAGATAGGTACACTATATTTTTGTGCTATCCTACCTAATATTGATGTGTCTCAATTTTGTATGTTGGTGAGGGTAGAGGGAATGATTTGTGTTCACAGCTATGGAATAATGGACATTTTAAAGACATTTTTAAAAGTTTACCTGCAAAGGGGAGGAAATTGGTATTTGCCCCTCCTCCCCCTTATTTTTTGTCCTATGAATTCAAGCCTACAGATTTTTTTTTTAAAATGCAGATTTTTTTCTTTAGAAATAATAGGAATACAAAGTTTGGCTTTGTGGGACATTCATATGGACTGATCTTTCTCAAGTTGTAGCTGACTGTGTACACTTTTTCTCCCCCCAAGCATTTCTTAGTTATTTGCTTTTCAGTGGATGCTAACAAAAACTTTAAATAGTCTGTATTAAAGTCACTTTCACTCTTAATCAGGCTTCACTTGCATTGTCTCTCGTGTTATATACATCAACCAGTTCCAGTTATTCTTAATGTTCCTGGAAAAAGGAAGATAAAAATAAGCAGTGGCAAATTTTTAAAGTGCTTCTATACAAATGCTAGGAGTCTGACTAATAAGATGGGTGAACTAGAGTACCTCGTATTAAAGGAGGAGATTGACATAATAGTCATCACTGAAACCTGAGGGAATGAGGAAAATCTGTGGGAAACAATCATACCGGGATATAAAATATATCGGAAGGATAGAGCAAGCCGTGTGGGTGGCAAAGTGGCACTGTATGTGAAAGATAATGTAGAATCAAATGAATCAACATGCACAACAGAATCGCTATGGATAGTAATTCCATGCACCAATAATAAGAAATTAGCAGTAGGGATATATTACCGACCACCTGACCAGGACAGCAATATTGACATTGAAATGCTGAGGGAGATTAGAGAGGCTACCAAAATAAAGAACTCCATAATAATGGGGGATTTTAATTATCCTCATATTGACTGGATACATGTCACCTCAGGAAGAGAAGCAGAGATAAAATTTCCCAGTGGCTTAAATGACTGCTTCTTGGAGCACCTGGTACAGGAATCCACAGGGGAGAGGTAATTCTCGATTTAGTCCTGAGTGGAGCGCAGGATCAGGTCCAGGAGATAACCGTTACAGGACTGCTTGGGAATAGTGACCATAATATAATAACATTTAACATTCCTGTGGTGGGAAAAACACCTCAGCAGTCCAGCACTCTGGCATTTAATTTCAGAAAGGGGAATTACACAAAAATGAGGAGGTTAGTTAAACAGAAATTAAAAGGCACAATGACTAGAGCCAAATCCCTGCAAGCTGCATGGAATCTTTTTAAAGACACCATAATAGAGGCCCAACTTAAATGAATACCCCAAATTTAAAAACCTAGCAAGAGACCTAAAAAAGACTCACCGTGGCTTAACCACCTTGTAAAAAAGGAATCTTTTGAGAAGTAGAAGTCCAATCCTAGTGAGATGAATAGAAAGGAACATAAACACTGTCGTCAAATCAAGTGTAAAAATGTAATAAGAAAAGCAAAAAAAGATTTTGAGGAACAGCTAGCCAAAAACTCAAAAAGAAATAAAATGTTTAAGTACATTAGAAGCAGGAAGCCTGCTAAAAAACCTGTGGGTCCCCTAGAAGATCGAGAT